ATCACAGACATCTTGGCCGTTTTCATTCTCTTCATGTTTCGTAGCTCTAGCATAACCCTTATCATTACCAATTCTGCTTGATCCCAATTCTCCATCCAGCACTTCTAATCTGTTTATATCAAAATGTCATGTTATTCTACTTCGCTTGTAGTCGTTGATTCTTTGTACGTTTTCCAGAACTCTGTCGTTTTCGATATTGAAGAACTGGTCGATTCCTTATCATCAATGTCGACTCCTATATGTCCATATTTCTCATCGACGCGAATACTCACGCAGGACGCCGATATTGTTTTTTGTCCATTCAGTTACATAGTAGGTCCGTAACTTTTCATTTGTCGGTTTCATGTTCCTCAATTTTGTAAAACAACCTATCTAGACCCGATAATCCGCAATTCATCTGATGTTCATCTGAAAAACAGCGTTGTGATTTTGGATGAGGCTCATAACATTGAGGATAATTGTCGGGAAGCGGCTAGCTTCACTTTTTTTGAAAAAGAGGTTTCAGATTCATTGGGTAGCCTGAGGGAGAAAGGTGAATTCAGAGTGCTATGACCTGAACGTAAAACCGCGCATATCTCTGCTTTTGCAGAAAATATAACTATGAAGCTGTTGGAGAAGTGCACTAGCGCTGCCGAATTAATGGAAGGCATGGAGAAGGTGTCCGAAAATTTCTCCATAGAGAACTACACAATAGATTTGGATAGGATTACATCGGTAATATTGTTCTTTCTTTACAAATATGAGCTGTGCCAATTTTATTCAAGGAGACTAGCTTTTCTTCTTAATATTAGATTGACTTGTGAAAACTCATTACATTGGGCCGAAAGTAATGAGCATCTTTTTAAGAAAGATTGCTCCTGAAGCAAACGTGTAGGTGATCCTACTTTGGTCAATAATTTGAAGAATTCTATCGAGAACCGTGAAAGTCTGCCGACGTGTACTTCCGTTTTTCTTTCTTTGATAGTGAGCAACAATCACTTCTAGCTATCGTCTATTGCGAGCAAGCTAAAAAGGTTACTGAGAAGAAAGGTATACGATTCCATGACCATACCATTTGGTAGGACTGCTCAAACAACACTGGCCTGCTTAAACAACACTAGCCTTGATATTTGACGCTATTTGAAAAGTATTTTACTATATATAGATCACAATGTTTGTGCATATATATCACAATTACAATTTTTGAACCGATTTGAAACAAACTTTGTCCAAGGCAGTATAAATGCTATTTCCAAAGGCATATGGCTGATGTACTGAGTTATCCATCTTTCGCACCCTTTTAGCTCAACATCACTGAAAGTTAGAGTGCAGGTCGTGATATCTAGAAAAAAATCTATCGCCTTTGTCAATCCATCCATTTTTCGCATTTTCTTCTTAAGTCGCTGGAACTTGGAAGCAAAAACTTTAAAGTGTGTTTTACAAATATGACAGTCGTTTTCGTAAATAAACTCTCTTTTTCGCAAAATTTCCGTATAAGCGAAAGTTTGTCCAGGGATACTTTTCCATGCTGACTATAAAAATTATGCAATAATTGTGCTATGAGGACTTCTTGAAAGATTCCTTTTGGAATCTCTTGTGCATTGATCTTCTTTCTGATATTGATTATGATCATGTCAAGGTTTAAAATGATCATTGCTCATCTAAATGTTCAAGTCACCCGAACTGGAGAAGTCATCTAAAGACCCAACCACTTAGTGTTCTGAACAAACGAACGGAGGCGGGTTGCTAGCTAGTATAGTACTGATCATTCAATGTTTGGAGTTTTGATGCATTGCTGTCGCAAAATAGAACATTCAGGTGTACCCATAAATTGTACAAGTAGCGGTGTACTAGACGGTGAAAACCCTTCTAAGAAGCAGCATATAATCTCGAAAGCATCCCATTACTTTCAAGACAACCTGTTAAGAACTGTTTACATATTAATGTTATTTTTGCATTCTATTAAGCTCGCTCTTCTCATGGACGACATCTCTAAGTGGTTTCGGGACACAGCTTCCAAACTCCTCACCAGTGCTAGAGTTGACGGTTCTGGAAAACTTTCAAATACAGTGTGGGGTAAAATTCTTTCACACTTAGTAAACAAATATTTCGTAACTGCAGCAATCATGGGTATATAGAAGTTGATTTGAGACGCTTTCATTTGCATCCAGAGGATCTTCGATACGAAAAGGCTGAGGTAGGCCACGTCTTTCTAGTCCAAAGTGATTTTTAGATTCTATTCTTAGCATGGGACTTCATTTAGGCTGCATATAAAGGACTGCTTTCGAGCTATCAGGAGAGACAAGATAGTCGCCCTCCTGATAACAAAATCAGCTCAACGGCTATTGTATGTTTGGAAAAATGGTTTTATTTCATTGAATACTTCAAAGATGAAACTAAAAGAAGCATGTACAAGTAAGTCATTGCCAAATTGTGAGATTTCCTTAGTTTTGGTAGTGTTCGTTAACTCGCTCAGGAAGATGTACCAATTTTGATGTAAAATGTACTTGAAAAACTGTACAGCTTTGTCATAGGATCAAATCGTTCCAGATTGAATGTATGCAGCGAGAAGGTGTATCAGTACCACGAACGCGGATCCTTTTTTCAAGGCGAAGGCCGCCGAGGTGGTCAAGCTGGTCCCAAAAACGTTAATTACAGCCAGATAAGTGGTGATGAAACAGACGTGTGGCTTTCTTCCACACAAGAAGCCTCCAGTCATGATCTCATTCGTGCTGGTTATCGCACTTCTTTAAGTCTTTGGTGTATGTCACCAGAGTTGGTAAGTTCAACAAAGAAGTCATCTTCGCTGTGCCTCAATCATTATTTCAGGCTTTCATCAGTGCTTTCGCTGAATGTCGTTCTGTGATTTTGGCATCTGGCACGCTCTGTCCAGTGGAAACGTTAAAAACGGAGTTGGGGCTAAAGTTCCATTCGCAGGTTCTTCAAATTCCAACCGTATTCTCTACTTATCATGATCAAAATTGCTTTAGATGGAAGGAGAACAAGTAATTCCATCTGAGCAGATATTTGCTGCTGTTTTGCCAGTGGTTAGT